AAATTCATTCAGTACTAAAGGATATATTGGGTTCTTTCATTTAAAATGTGTTCAGTGTACTGATAAATTTTCTATACATGTATTTAACTTTGAATAATGAGTTATATGGCGCAACATTGAATCAAAATCGGTGTAATGGTGATCAAGTGTAGAAATTTTATGCATAAATGCCTTCATCACGCAAGCTAATCGCTTAATCACACCATCAAACAAAAAAGACGATTATTCCTCAATTGACAGCTTAAAAATATAGTGATATACTTATAAATTTAATCGTATGTGTACTTTTTACTGAGAAAAGTAATAAATGTATTAAGTACCAAATACTACAATTTTAGTGCTACTGGAGATTCTAAAAAGACATTGAGAACACAATCATAGAATGGCTAAAGTATGCAAAGGACAGGGATGGGGGAGGAAGAAACGGACAAAGAAGAAATTTAAAGAAGGGAAGGAGGAGACTCTGGAGAGAGAAGAGGAGAATTAGGAGAGGGATCAGATTGAACGCGGCAGTGTCTAACTTTTTCCTGTTTGGGCTGTGACATATCTGTAGTTCTCTCCTTTTCTGTGTCTGTTTGTCGGTAAAAAACATGATGCAGATGTCAGATACATTTTTTGTGTAAGTAAACAAAATTGCGGGATTCATTTAAGTATTATTTTAGGAAAAGGAGGTCTTTGTTTATTTTTTAGACGTGTTTATTGATATCTGCAATTCACTGAACTTGTGCATAAATTTTCATCAGAAAGGGAGTATACAATCATTTAACCCTACATGTATCGCTTCAAGTGAGCATCAACTTTTTGTTCTTTATTAATGTATTCTTCATGCTTTGAGCAATAAAATATTAGTATGTTATAATTTAATTTAATAATATGATTTCTTTTTCCTCAGTCTTTTTAATTAATGTAGAGCTACTAACAATGCAATACTTGTTGATGGTAATTCTTTGAGATATTGTGAATATGTATTAAACTATTAATCTAGCATAAATAGTATTAAAGGGCTTTTACCATTAAACTGTACTACAAAACTACGATAACCTTATATAGTTTGTTATTACATTTTGAGGACAAATGGCCAGCCAGTGAAGAGCAAATGAGTTGTCCTGATGGAGAGCCAATAAGATACAAACCAACGTTGGTCCAAAAATGGTGTTTGCCTCATATTGAAAAAATAAGTGGCCCAACAATGGCTCAATAATATCCGTTCGTTGGTCCAACAATAAGCCAACAAGTTGGTCTGATTAAGGGCCGATGAGCAAATTACCGTTGGCCCAACATTAATTGCTTACAATGGCCCAACTGTACAAAAATGACGTTTGCCCAACATTGAAAGAATACATTGGCCCAACAGTGGTCCAATATTAACTGTTACATTGGCCCAACAATAAGCCAGCAAGTTGGTTTGATTAAGGGCCGATGAGCAAATTACCGTTGGCCCAGCATTAATTGCTTACAATGGCCCAACTGAACAAAAATGACGTTTGCCCAATATTGAAAGAATAAATTGGCCCAACAGTGGCCCGATATTAACTGTTACATTGGCCCAACAATAAGCCCACAAGTTGGATTGATTAAGGGCCGATGAGCAAATTACCGATGGCCCAATGTTGAATGCAAACGGTGGCCCAACATAAGGAGCATTGTTGGCCCAACAAAGGTCCAACAGCATCCTGCTATCTGGGATGTGACTACGACTGGGAAAATGGGGCCAGATGAGCTAAAATCAGATTTTGAGTTTTTGTCATTTTTTAAATCCTCGTTATGTAAATAATTTTTTTTTCAAAAAACCAGAGTCATATCTGAAGGGGTTTTAGAGATATGACTACATCTGTTCATTGACCCTTTATAGAGTTATTACATAAAAAGACACTTTGAAACAGGGAAAATGCACTTTTTCTATGATATTTAATCTGAACTTCCAAATTTAAAACCAAGGAAAAGTAATGATTTAATTATAGACTTTTTTTCTAAAAATTTATGAAATTGAACTTTTTTAGTGTATAGAATTGAAACCATTGCTGTCATGGCAACAAAATAAAATAAGACTTTTTATCATTAAAAAAAATCATCTCTGCAGAGTTCAAAGACAATCAGTGTTTATAAAACTTCAATATTTCATACACATCCTTTGTTCATAAATTTTCAAGTTTTAAGGAAGCTATAAACACTAATATAAAATATTTTCTGGCTTGAAGAAAATTATGTCATATAAAAGTTTACAGACCAAGTTTATCAAGTTCCTATCATATTTCCCTGAAAAAATGTTCAAAGACAGTTAAGGTACCATATGTCAACTCAGTGAACAGAAATTATGCTTGTTTACTTACATTGGGAAGATATATGCAAAAGATTTATTTAATTACTTTATCTTAGTCTGACAAACATGTAATGTTAAGAACACTTTTGTCTAGTACACATGGTTTCTTTCACTGTAGATTTTAGTGTAATCTATCTAACATCTAAGGGCAAATCACTCTAAGTTGGCATAAAACTGCCATGAAATTTAGAAGTCTTTAGTGTGCAGTGTTAAGAGCTTCCTTAAACAACTGAGAAAATAAAAACAACTAGATACGATCTCGTTGAGAGCAACGAATAGGTTTTCCGTTGAATTTCTCGATAAGATGAGATGTGATTTTGACTGAGATATTCGTTAAAGGAGAGTGACATTAAGTTTACCTTCATTAAATTTAAAGTTTCTGATTTATATCATGATATTCTGAACATCTTTTGTGCAATATGGCTTATTAAATTACTCCCCCTTCTCGAGATGTAAAGCATCTAGGATATAGAATTTTGGCCCCTTGCGACCCCTTATTACGTAACATGTGAGCAAAATTTTCTAATATATTTTTGCAAATCGTTAAGATGAATATCTTTGCTTCTGTAATGTATCACAAAATAGTGATCATTATAGAGTTAAAGATCTTATGATTTTTGAACACTTTTTGTTCAACAACTATTCAGAAATTCTTTTTCATTTTTGAGCTCTTAGCAAAAGAAATGTTTAGGGGCCAACCCTTCAACTCCCAAAAGGGGACGTTTAGCGAAAAATGAAAGGTTGCATATTGTTAAGAACATTATTTTGAACATCTTTTGTTCAATATTACTTATCAAAATATTTCTCATTTTCGAGATATAAAACGTCAAAGATTTAGCATTCTGGTCCCTTGTGGCCCCTAATTATGTACAGTGTACCATATGACATAAAAATCATAATATGTAGTTGTAGGTTGTTGAGATAAACATCTTTGCTTCAGTAATGTATTACAAAATATTAACTGATAAAGAGTTATCGATTGAAGACTTTTGGCCCCTCTTGGCCCCTGATTTGAGTGCCCACCCCCTTTTTCTTGATTTCATCTTAAAGATCTTAGGATTTTGAACACTTTTTGTTCAACAAATATTCAGAAATTCTTTTTTGTTTTTGAATTACACTGTATTTGCAAAAGAAATATTTAGGGGCCAACCTTTCAACTTCCTAATGGGGACGTTTAGCGAAAAATGAATGGTTGCATATTGTTCAGAACATTATTTTGAACATCTTTTGTTCAATATTACATATCAAAATATTTCTCCCTTTCGAGATATAAAGCGTCAAAGATTTAGCATTCTGGCCCCTTGTGGCCCCTATTTATGTACCATACGACATAAAAATCATAATATGTAGTTGTAGATTGTTGAGATAAAAATCTTTGCTTCAGTAATGTATTACAAAATATTAACTGATAAAGAGTTATCGATTGAAGACTTTTGGCCCCTCTTCGTTTTCTTCTTGTTTTCATTTAGGAAACACCAAAGTTTTGTCTATTTCTTTTACTTTTTAGTTTGACATTTGACTCACATCAATTTGTCTCATTCACATTTCAAGTAAATAGATGAATCTAAAGAAAACTTAAATTGTTCGTACTGTATAAATCTCATATCATATGACGCAGCTTTCAGACTTGAACACAGGAGAGAAAAAACATGTCACGTCAACGGTTTATAATTGGTTGCTCAGGTTTCAAACTTCTTAAGATACTTCAAGTATGCTAAAAATATCCCTTGGTATAAAGTTTTATTTCCTTCATTTTTTAAAAAAAAATTTTCTGTACTTTCTTGATATGACGGTGCCTTCTTTTTTTCAAACAAGGTAAAAGTTTAAGTTTTAGAAATTTCGATCATAAGCACTTTTTTTATATCGGATAAAAAGCTAAATAAAAGAAAATAAGTATTTCTAAAAAAAAAAAAAAAAAAAAAAAAAAAAACAACAAAAAACCGAAAACAAAACTAGGTGAATGATGATGTATTTATAAGAAAAGAAGAGCATGGGAATAACCATGACTTTTTTATGCTTGGGCGTTCATCACTGTAAGCAGAGCTATTTGTCATTGTTACAGTAATGTTTGTTGTTTGAAAGAAAAAGTATATAAATTTATAAAAATAGTCATTACTTCCATTATCATACAAGGGCCCAATGAAATTGTAAACAAAGCAAGACGTCATTACGCTACATTTACGAGTAGAAAAATGTTTTTTACACTGCTACTCCAAAGCACAAAAATGACACTATTGTGTTCCATTCATATTTTCGTCCATACAAATGTGGTTTTGTATTAGTTTGATTTTTAGTTGTTAAATTTGTGATTATTGAAAGTGGTGTTTTTTACTCAGTAGGAAGCGTAAAAGTTTTTTACTGTTAAGTAAACATAAGTAAAATTAAGCAACTGTATATAATTATCTACTAAACTTTTGAAAATCTGGATAGAAGAAGGGACATTTAGCACCAAGTTCGTCATTGTCCTTAAATCTCACATGATAAAATAATGTACTTGATTTAATACAAGAATTTACAAATTAATTTGGAAAATCCATAGATCGCCGTGTCAATTATGTAATACGTACAATCTGTAAGTGGAACAAATGATGTATCAAATCTAGTTCATAGGTCGTTTTAGTTTTTACTAATTGAAAAAGACATAAAAGACTGCGAATTTCTCATATTGTATTATATTTTGGAATCTTCTACAGAAATTTAAGGTAAGTTTTTATCAGTATACAGTTAAAGTATATCGTTGAGGGAGTCAGTAAGATTCCAGCTCCCCAAGAGCAAGTCTATTTCCCGAGGCGCTTGCGCCGAGGGAAATAGGCTTGCTCGAGGGGAACTGGAATCTTGCTGGCTCCCGAAATGATATACTTTAACTGTTTTATTATACCGATACAAACAAGACATTTGAAAAAAATTATATTCAACACTGTATTCAGTAACAATGTTTAAAAAAATGAAAAAATGAAAAAAAAAAAAAAACGACAAAAACAGAATACAGTCATGAAAGGAATTCCATTTTATCAATAAATCAGTTCATTGTCCGAGTTTTTACCTAGTAAAATCGAAAGTAACATTACGCAAAATTGAGCACGCCATTTCTGTTGTCGTTCGCTTCCAGTAAACTGGTTCTTTTTGATTGATATGGGACCAGTTGACTCGCGATGCATTTCGATTCACTAATGAATATTCAGTTTATTCGGAACATTTTTAAGTTTGTCGTAAGTTGAAAGAAAATGTCAAGCGTTCCGAATAGGTGTGTATCAGTTCATCAAAAAAACGTACTTTTTTGCAGGGAATCAGTCTGTTTTGCAGGGAATCGGTTTATTTACGGTGATTTTCAGGAAATCAGCAAAATATATCGATTTACTTTTATATAGTGAAAAATCAGTAGAGGTATAATAATACTTACTAAAATATACTAATGACTAACATCAACATATTTTTAGGGAAGAGCATATATTAACTATTTTTGCTAATTTTCAGTTGTGTAGTTGACTACTTTTTAGTTGTTAGAAACCTTGCTAAATAAAATTAATTGAAAATACTGATTAAAACTCATCTCTGCACATTTTTCATATAGTAAAATTACATAAAACCATAATAATTAACTTTGAAATAATTTAAACGATATTTATGATATTAACGTAAGTAACGTGCAAGGAGCCGAGCTGGCCCTGGGATCATGAAACTTCCACTGGCGATGTCTTAAGTTTAAGACAAGTTGGCAAGTTTTGCTGAAATAATAGCATTGTAGAAGTAAAACAGTCCAAATAACAATCCAAATAAAATCATTATATAAATAAAATTTACGATTTTGCTTAAAATTTGCAATTTTGCATAACATTTAAATTTGAAAATTTGGTGACTATTTTGTTTCTTCATCAAAATTATTTCAAAAGGTTACTTGAGTAAAGTTTGTGGTTTGGGGGCCTGGCATTGTAGACACTGTTTTCGAGATCCCTCCTCATAAAATGGCTTAAATATTACAGTCTGGTGAATGCAGTGGTCAAACATTTTTATGGGGTGTTTATTATCGAGATTAACTTGATATCGTCTTCAACGTCCAATATACATCCAGATATATATACAAAATATCAATCTTGCACCTTAGGATTTGAATAGTCTATATAAGGTCTCTATTTCAACTGGGGAAATTTCAGTTCTTGAAATTCTTAGTCTTTCTGGATTATTTGTATCATTTCTCGCATATTGCCTGTCACACCCGACCCTGTTTTTCAAATGTTTGCTATCCTTCTGATACGCATTTTAGAAAGCTTCTCTTTTTAAAAACTCTTTGATTCTCCTTAGAAAGATTCTGCAACGATTGATTTTCAATTAATTAAACGTAAACACATATTAGATCAAATTTGTTTTTATTAGCAAAATGACGATCAAATTTTTCACATACACAACATATGTACAATATGGAAAAATAATACTAATTACGTATATAGATCAAATTGTGTCACTGTAAATCAAAGGTGAGGAATCAATTTCTGCACGGAATCTAAAACAAAGGATTGACATCTTAAACCGATTAAATACAGTATAAATACTGTATACAGGGTTATTTTCGCCCTGTGTAATTTTTGCCTTTTCATATTTGGAAACAAGTTTACCCCGTTTTAGATTCTCCCAGAAAGATTTTTGTTTAAAATTGTATACTGTTAAATTTGAATTCGTCCCGTTTTAATTTTGCCCACTTCCAACGAGGGCGAAAGGGGCAAAGATTAAACGGGCGAAAACTTCCCTGTTTACAGTATAGCAAGTGAGTAGATAAAAAGAAAAACATATCATAACAATGTTGATGTGGTTAACGTAATGTATTTATCACTTTATGGACACTTTAATTCTATAATAATTTTAAAATAACTTATCAATAAAATAGGTTTTGTCTGTCCTTTCATCCATATGAATTTCCTTAAAGATGTGGTACTTGGTTGTCACCTTACTTTTGGGATCCACTGTTACCGTCCTTGGACAACGACAACAAACATCATGTTATTTGGTAAGTGTATAGATTTTGAATGATTTCTTGTTATAATCCTGTTGTCAACATGTGCAGAAACTAATGTCTGATGAAATGTCTTATTCACAAACGGATTTTGTCTGCCAGAAATTTTAAATTGTATATTTTTATGATAATGATCGATGTGCGTTCTATCATATCAAGTTTCTGTAGATTTTGTGTTCTCCTGATGAGCGCTGTGTGGATGGTTTATGTCAGCCAATAACTGGTAAGTTAAATAATTAATCGTTAGATTAACTCCTTTCTTCACTACTACTGGCCAACTCATTTTTTTTTTTTATTGTTGATGGTAAGATAGAAAATGATTGCATACATATTGAGTACTTGATGGTTCATCACAGATATCGAAGAAATTCTAAACTAAACTTCAAACTATTCTCGAAAAGCTTTCAGTGAAAGGAACTAGAAAGCGTTATCTTATATAAAGAATTGTAATCGGTTTTTTTTCAAGAATTTAATTATCTATTATCTTGGGTCGACGCAATAAAACAACAATTTTTTTAATGGTTTTTTTTATTTATTTGGCGCTTTTGGGCACGGCTGAATAATATAACAACATATTATTTCGGGCCTCCAAAGCAACGGGTAGGCCCAGCAACAACAACAACATTTCAGTTCAACAACAACAACATTTCAGTTCAACAACAACATTTCAGTACAACATCAACATATCTGGTGACCTTGACCCTGTAAGATGCAGAGGCCAAGGTCAACAAACATTTCAGTACAACATATTAGGTGACCTTGACCCCTGGAGATGCAGAGGTCAAGGTCAAATAATAAAAACTTGCAATGCAAGAATAATATTCACACATCCATGACTCTTGGAGGTGCAGAAGTCCAGGAAGAAAAAATAAAATAGTTTTATTTACACTGAATGCAAGATTTAGAATAATATTCACACATCCATGACTCTGGGAGATGCAGAAGTCAAGGAAGAAAATAAAAATAAAATAGTTTTGTTTACACTGTCACAATATTTACATGGTATTCAACTTTGACCCTGTGTGGTGCAGCGGTCCAATAATGAACCCATATCACATCATAGTTCAAGTGATGTATGCCGCTCAGTTCGCCACAAGACCCCAGTCGTATATTCTTGAACAAAGCATATACGAATGGGGGCGCCGACACTTTACTAGTGGGGGGTCCTGAGCGGCCTGAAACAGCCGTGACCCTTCCTCTCCAGATATCAGTCATTACTGTGAAGGATAAAACTTACATCCATGCCTAATAATTGGCTTTATATCCCCTGAATTGTTTTTTTTTTTCAAGTTTATTTTCTTAACTTGGATAAATGTACCCCATCACTTTCAACTAATCCTGGCATGGTTTTTTGATGTCAGGATAGTGGATTACAGAATCCCCAACTTCACAAACTTTGTTAAAGAAAAATGCATTAAACCTCTTACTAGCATTCTCCATGGCCAGATTATATGAAGAACAATGCTAATTAATACGAGCAGAATATGAGACCATATTAAGTGCACAAGAGGAAATTGAATCTCTTTAATAAATTTCAAGTATTTAAACCTGACATTCTTTAATTTTCTCACTGTTGTTTTCCCTCTATGCATAATCTGAGATGAAATCCCCAATTCCGCACTTTCCCCAATACGAAGAAGTGGGATTTTTAGTCCCAAAACTCGAGATTTAAGACCTAAGGTTTGGCTAAATTTGAAGTAAAATGGTACTTAGTGAAAGGAGATCCGGAAAAATTGACAAAATAGTTGACCCCTTGGGTAGGTCTAATTTCTAAAAACCTTTAAAGATTAGTGCAGAGGCAAGTTAAATCCTCTATGCCATGCATCTCCAAAGTTGTTTCCCTTCCATATTGGTAGGTCTTTGATTTATTTATTTTTTTTTTAAATGTGTCGTCAGATTGAGTTACTTTAATTTTAATCAATATTTTATTATGTAAGTAACATTACATAATTGGATTGGACATCAGGCATGGCCTATATGAGTTTCTGTATTGGCAACAACTCGATCTATCTGAGGATTCGTCGGAGACTGCAGGTTTTTTCCTAAAAAAGGTTTGAGTATACAATAGAAAATGCAGTTGAAAATAATTAATGATATCTCATATGAATTTGTACATACGCAAGGTAAAATTTTAAGAATCTGCTTTAATATAGACCTTTTAATGGGCAACCTACTGTCAATGCAGTGAGCTGTGCTTTTTAACCCCTGTAACAACTTTTAACTATGAATTCTTCTGTTAGGCCTATGTGACCTTGAAGTTTGCAATTATAAGAAACGGAAGCTAAGTTAGGACGAACTGTCGAAAACACCAGGCCTTTAATTGACCAGTGTGCAACAAATCTAAATATCAAACAACAAGGGGGAGTCAAATAGTATTTAATCCTTGCTGCAAGCAGCAGCTGAAGCATGCTCTTACGCCTAATTAATAAGCCTTGCTAGTGTTTTCAGAAAATGCTGCCCCTAACAACTTGTTTAATTTATGCTAGATATGAGGTTCTGAAATTCGATTGGTACAGGTTGTGGTCATGTATGTGGTGCAGCTTGCAAGAAACATTGCCACTGCTGACGAAAAATTGGATCGGCAATACTGTTATAATTAGTACGGAAGTGAACAGCACGAAAACCTAAATTGTTTAAAAGCAATCTAACACAAATGAATGAATTAATTTCATAACTCTACTGGATTTTGAGGACTGTATGTTCAAAACCGTAACCAATGCCTCATTATCAATATAAAACCGTATTCTCCTATTTGCATGTTGAATACCACATAAACTCACAGCCAAAACTACTGGAATAAGATCTAGTGTTGTCATGCGATATATTTGAATTACTGTAGTCACCCATTCACGTGGCGAAGGGAAATAGCACCATTGCCCTCAAAAGTATGCTCCACAACCCAGATGTGCAGAAACGGCACTATCTGTATACATATCTAAAATTTGATTTGACGACCAATCCCTTTCTTGGAAATAAACTTGACCATTAAATTGCCCTAGGAAACTTAAGCATATATCTTGCTTCATTTCATTGTCTAACATAGTATGATGGTAAGGCTTAGATACCCCCGGGTTGAATCAAACAATCTCTTAACAAACTTGTAAGAGAAATTGAGCTTCTGCAACAATGACTATAACTGCCGTAGAACTAATAATTAATGTTCCTACAGTATGGACGTCAATTTGATACATTTTTCAAGAGGTATTCTGATCAGCATTTGCATTGTTTCATTTTCTAAACCTAGTTTAACCTACAAGACAGTGAGTGGGATAAACCGTTTTGTCATCAGTTAAGGGGAACCCCCAGTTGAATACAAACCCCTTGCGATGTTTGCATTAATTTAAGAATGACTCCCTTTCTTTATCTGCAAATATGAAATCATCTAATAGATGTTTTTTTTTTTTTTTTTTTTTTTTTTTTTTTTTTATCCATTGCAAGAATATTTGAATTTCTTAAAAGCTTTGTGTGAGAGATGGAGATGCCTTGACGACATTTATCAAAGTAATATATATTACCTCAACTTTGAATACTAAAAGGTCAAAATCACCAGGGAACGTATATAGAAACCTAAAGCTGATTTAATATCCATTTTTACAAAATATGCACCCTCACCAACCTTGGCCAACAAATTATTACTATCAAAGGATGTATAATAACTGTGAACTTACTATGTTTTATATAGTGATTTTCACTGCTGTCTGCAGGATATGAAAGGTGCGTTATCAATCGCCACCCAGAGTTATCCCTCTTTGGTACCACTCCCACTGGAGATACTCTGAGATTACATATGGGTACCCCCCCCCTTAATTCATTTTGTTTGTTGTTATTATTTAATTATTAATATTTTTCCTGCTTTGCATTGATAAGCTGAAATTAAATTGATATTTTTTATATGTAACATTGGATTAGAGTTATAAAGTCTGAACCCCTGAGAAAAACCCATGCACTCAACAGTTTGTTGCTACAGGTTTGTTTGGATAACGATCAGCGTTATAGCAATATAGGAATTTTAATTGGTATGTTTCCTACTGCCAAATTATTTTCAGCTATTTTACTTGTATTTTTCGGATGTGGGACTGAGGTTTTTGCTAGGAGTTTGGTGGAGCTTGATGTCTTGTATATGGATTTCTATATTGTAAACTTATTGTGGTTGCATGGGCTTGGTTCGAAAGGAGAAGGTGCGTCCGAATGAGCTACTGGTATTCCATTTACCTGGGCTCTTCAAAAATTGCATTGTATGACTGTGTGCATGCCAGGACCACTTGTACAAGTGCGCATGTACTGTCACAGATTTGACTGCAGGACCCCTTAAATTGAAATCAACGCTCGTTTTGTTTGAGAGTGTTGAGTCTGGAGAAATTCCAGTCGATAACTAGGATTCACGTATGACAACAGTTTTAAATCAATTCAGGCCCAAGAAATAGGAGGGTCTATAGATTTTCGAAGACGATACTGCGTGACGTATTCAAACCCCATGCGAACTGTATGGACAAACTTAGGATATCTATTGCTTTATCTGGATGGGCAGATATATAAATAGATGCAAACAAGAGCGTGACGTCCATTTTTCAATTGGAAATACTTTTTGAGACATTTTCCTTTGGTACAATTTCTCCTGTGCACTTTGGGTTAGTTTTTAATCCGTGCCCCCCCTCTCCCCCCCCCCCCCCGGTCCGTTTGAGTGGAAGCAGAGACTGTAATTCTACAAGATGGAAACCTGTAGACTCTAGTTTGAAAGTTGGTGTTAACATCAGTGAAATAAAGTAACATTTTACTGTTTGTAACGAAATAGTTATATATACTTACCTGTATTGTTCTTATTTATTCATGCCGTTTTTTTTTATTATCAATTGATTTATTTTTAGTTAAATAAACAGTCATCAGTTACAAAGTAATGAAGCAGAAAAGAGTCCATTAGCCATAAATTCACAAGAAATAGAGTTATAAAATTATTATCGAATACTTTAAATTTTTTCACTTGAGACAAAGATGGTGGCTAGCACATGGTGATGCAAATAGATAAATTGAAATGAATCTCATCTGATCTAAATTTAAACCTTTGTTATCGAATAGATAAGTAAACAATACGAATTCATAAAAATAGTAATAGCTATTTCTAAAATCTAAACTTAGCCATTGTTTTCTCAAATTTGATTAACACCAACCTTGCAACTAGCGTGTAACCGGCAAAGAGAGAGTTTGCAGCACGAGCACCTTTCTTTATA